TTGAACTCAGATCATCTGTTGCAGCCCCTCCAGCTCTGACATGTCTCTATATAACCTCCATGGTTTCTGCCAACCAAAAGAATATACAGGGAAGAAGAGTCAAGCAGTACTGTGTTGATTCCTGTTTCCTGATGGATAAGGAGTCTTATGTTTCTTAGAGATGGGGCCTCACTGTGTTGCCTAGGCTAGACTCAGACTCCTAGGTCAGCCACCCAAGTAGCTGGGACTACAGGCAGATGGCACCATGCCTGGCCAGAAATCTTTTAATCATTGTGTTTGATGGGGGAGCCAGAACAAAATACCACAGGTTTAAACAGAAAGTTTCTCCTGTTCCGAAGGCTAGAGGTCCAACATCAAGGAATAAGCAGGATTGTTTCTCCCGAGATCCCTGAGGGAGGGATCTGTTCTAGGGTTTTCTCCTTGACTTGCAAATGGCTGTCTTCTCCCTGTGTATTTATGTCACCTTACTTTTGTACTTGTGTCCAGATTTCCTCTTCGTATAAGGACACCAGTGTTACCGGATTAGGACCCACACTAATGAACTTTCAATTACCTCCTTAAAGACCCCATCTCCCAATACGATTCTGAGGTCCTGGAGATTAGGACTTCCACATAAAAATTTAGGGAGGACAATTTGGCTCATGATGTTGTTTCTGAATTTTTTTTTTTTTTTTTTTTTTTTAATTTCTAGAAACGATCTTGCTATGTCACACAGGCTGGTGTGCAGTGGCACGATCATAGCTGACTGCAGCCTTAAACTCCTGGGCTCAAGCGATCCTCCCACCTCAGCCTTCCAAATATCTGGGACTGTAGGTGTGTGTCGCCACACCCAGCTAACTTTTTTTTTTTTTTTTGGTAGAGTTGCTGTGTTGCCTGGGCTGGTTTGGAACTCCTGGCCTCAGGTGATCCTCCCACCTCAGCCTCCCAAAACATTGAGATTACAGGCATGAGCCACTGCACCTGGCTGGGAATGTTTTTTAAAATCGCTGTTCTAGGTCACTTATTTTTGGGGAACAGTGTTGGTAAATTGCAGGGATGGCCATCAGGGCACATCTGAGGGAACAGAATGATAGTGCTCAAAGGTGAAAGTAACTATCAACACATGAAGGTGTTGGAAACAGATGGCAGTGGATGTGGGTGAGGCCTGTTGAGAGCTCACCATCTTGGCTCTGGTATGCAGGCCGGTTGTTGGAGAACAGCTTCTCAGTGATGTGGTGTTAACTTCCCACACACATTCATCAGCTGCCAACTCCGCGCCAGATTCTGGGATTTTAGAGAAAAGGGAAGATTATGATAGCACGCTCACACCTGTGTGCTTTAGTCACTGTCATTGACTCATCAGGAAATACCATGACATGCGGTGTGCACCAACATATTCAGCAGTCATGACTCCCACCCCCACCCAGCTTGCCTTTTTGTCATCCTTCCATGCTTAATATGGGTCCTTTGGGCCTCCTGCACACGTGAGTCATTAATCCAGTGGTTGAAGTTTTACACCTGGTGGCTCCCAAGAGCTTGTGTTGTAGTGAATGTGAGATCAGAGACATTTGGCAGATGAAGCAGTGGTGGCCGTTTTATGCTGCAATCCTGAGTGGAACCCAGGAAATGGCTGACGCCCACTGCAGTTTGTTACCATTGATGTAAACCTTTCAGTTTGTACATCAAATGTACCTTTAGCAAGGCTCCATCTGTGGTACAAGCTTGGTGTTTTTGTGCTTTTAGAATAAGATCAAATGAATTTGGTAACCTGGGGATAGCTCAGATAGGCAGTTACATTATTTTGATGCATAAATAAAAATGAAGGCCGGGCACGGTGTTATCCCAGCACTCTGGGAGGCCGAGACAAGGTGGGTTACTTGAAGTCAGGAGTTCGAGACCAGTCTAGTCTGGGCTGTCTTTACCAAAAAATATGAAAATTAGCCAGGGGTCGTGGTATGTGCATGTAATAGGCTACTTGGGAGGCAGAGGCAGGAGAATTGCTTGAACCCGGGAGGTAGAGGTTGCAGTGAGCTGAGATTGTGCCCCTGTACTCAAATATATAAATGCATTTGGTTTTGAAACCTTATATTTCTGAGTTGGACTGAAGACCAACAAAAAGACCCTTCTTGGTAGTAGAAGTTAGTAGTCAGTATCACAGACTTTGAACATACTTTTCTTTTTAGTTTTTTTTTTTTTTTAAGATGGAGTCTCGAACTTGTAGCCCTGGCTGGAGTGCAGTGATGCAGTCTCAGCTAACTGCAACCTCCACCTCCTGGGTTCAAGCGGTTCTCTTGCCTCAGCCTCTTGAGTAGCTGGGATTACAGGTGCCTGCCACCATGCCCTGCTAATTTTTGTATTTTTAGTAGAGATGGGGTTTCACCATGTTGGCCAGGCTAGTCTCGAACTCCTTAGGTGATCCACCTGCCTCGGGCTCCCAACGTGCTAGGATTACAGGTGTGAGCCACTGTGTCCTGCCTCTAGATCTGGTTTTTGCAGTACTTCATGTGTTCTGTTGTAAATCTCTGTATCCCTGGGACCTAGCACAGTGCCTGCCACTCAAATCTTGACCCTCTGTTTCGTTCTGAGAAAAGCAGGATTCTCCCTCTGGTTTTGACTATTTGATTATCTGAATTTAAGCTTTTGTCATTTTGACCTGAAACAAATTCCTGCCACTATTTTAAAAATTGCGTGTATTAGAATGAATTATATGCATCAGAAACTTGTTACCATCAGCATTTAGCGGAGCTGTGCCTTGTGTTGTTTTCTGAGAGTATTCTCTAAACAGATTGTGGAGCTAATTGGCAAGTCCTCTGTTTAAAATTTACATGCTTTTCTTTCCCCCCAGACAGCTAGGGATTACCCATTATTCTTTGTGAACTCCGAGTTTAATAAACGATTTACAGAGAATAGGAGTGACTTGTGAACCAACTTATTCCCTTGTCACTGGGCTTGAGGCTGGCAGATGGCTGTGGAGAAGTGTGTCCCAGAGCACTTGACACATAGAAGTAAGAAAACCTTTGCTTCAGCCTGGGCAATATATGTGAGACCTCATCGCTACGAAAAAAACAAAAAAATTAGCTGGGCATGGTGGCATTCACCTGTAGTCCCAGCTGCTCCGTGGCTGGGGCGGGGGGTGGGGGGGAGAAGATCGCTTGAGCCTGAGAGATGGAGGAGTGAGTAGTGATCGTGATCGCGACACTGCACTCCAGCCTGGGTGACAGTCAGACCCTGTCTTAAACCCTTGCTGTACTGTCACATACAAAAGAAAATAAAAGTAAGGTCTAATGTCAGCTAATATTTACTGGGTGCCTCACTTCCTGGGTGCCTCACTTCCTGGGTGCCTCACTTCCTGACTTACTGGGTCAGGTACTGTGCTGCTCACTTTGCCAACATGAATTCGTTTGAATCCTCATATGGCTGTGAGTCAGGCGTCAGTAACGCTCCTTTCCACACGGGGCACTCAAAGATGAAAGTGGTGAAGGCGTTTGCCCAAGGCCCCACGTTTGTAAGAGGAAGCGCCCAGATTTGGGGCCGTGGTACCTCACTGATGCCTCTGGGTGTCCAGATCCCCTGAAGAGGAGTGGCCAGCTCGGCCTCTTGGTGTAAGCCCGCCTCTCCTGGAACTCCAGGGGCCTCAGGCCCTCTGCGCTGTGCCCACTTGTCAGCGTGCCCCGCTCCCGGCCTGCAGCCTTTGCGCCCCCACTGGCCCTGAACCCCTGTGTCCTGGCTTCTCTGCGGTGCGGTGCGGTGCACCGGCAGGTTCCGGGGGAGTTTTCTGCAGATGTCAGGTTTGATACACAGCAGCCTTGGCTCATCGCCCGGTCTCATGGGACGGAAGCGCTCGCCGTCCCAGCGCTTTGGCTGGAGCCTAAAGGGCCCGACGGACAGGACCACGGCCCGTGTGCGGTGAGCAACGTTCGTTCCCAGACTTCCCGGTGCCGGGCCCGTGGCTAGGTTAGTGAGAAAGTAAGGAAGAGGATGCGCGACGAACCTTCAGCCCACAAAGGCTGGGCCCAAACCACCCTCCCTGAGCGCCTCCTCCGAGCCAGGCTCGGTCCTACACTCTGAAGACGTAGACACTCCGGTCCAGTGTCACTTGTCTTCCAGTAAGAGGATAGAGATGACAGGCGAGCGAGGGAGTCGCAAGGTCTCTGCAGAGAGTGAGGCGTGAGTGGTGGTCATGGAAGGCTTCCCGGAGGAGGCGGTGCGGAAGCCGCCGCTCGGATGACGCGGAGGAGCCAGCCAGGGACGGGAGGGGCAGAGGCTCTCCAGGAAGAGGGACCCGTGAGTAAGGCGCGGGGGATTCAGCGCCCCCAGCCCGGGAGGAGGCGCCCTCTGAGCTCTGGGCCAGCCGCTCCCGCCCTTCCAGGCGGAGCACCGGGCGTGGGCGGTGCCAGGGCCCTCGCGACTGGTGATTGGACGCTGCGGCCGAACGGAGGGGCTCCGCGGGCGCCGATTGGTGGGCGAGGCAGGTCGCAGCCGCCAGGTGATCCGGGGGTCGGTTCCCGCGGCCACGTGGGGGCGCGCGGACGGGGGGCGGGGACGGCGGGGAGCCGGCACTTGGGCGCGGGGCGGCGGCGGGAGACGTGGGGGTCGCGGACCGGAGCGGCGGGGACCGGACTCGAGAGGCGGTAAGTGAGCGCCGGGAGCGGGGCAGGGGCGGGGGCTCGGTCCGCAGGCGTGGGCGAGGGAGGGTCTCGGGAGTAAGGGGCGCCCGTCACCCGCTCCGTCGTCATCTGCCCTCTCTGCCACCGTAGCCTCCTCCGTCCCCTGCAGCCGCGCTCAGCCCGCTCCTGGGTCCGGGGACGCTGCCTGGCCGTCCCTGGCCATCCGCCTCAGCGACCCGAGCAAGGTAGCACGGCGGCATCCGCAGCCCACACAAGAGCGCTCCGCACCCCCGCGCCCGCCCCTCACCCCCGCGCCCGCCCCTCACCCCCGC